CAAGACATAAATATTATGAAAAGTTAAAAATTAATTCAAGGCCATAATCGAAGAGCTATCACAAGATAGTTTTTGAGTAGTTTCCCAGTGAATTAATTGTCCAAATAATAATTGCTAATAGAATTTAAAGGACTAGCTCACTATGGTGTAACATGAGGAGGAGTCTTCCTTACTCATACTATACTTGTTCTCCATCCTCATCCAGACCTCTGGTCTCCTGGTGATTGCTGTTTCTCCTACCTATGAGCCCCCTATGGGTTTACTTTCTTCCCTCCCTATTCTAAAGCATTGGTTCATCATTTCAACCTAATCTGTACGCCCTCATTGTCATGTCCTGCCAGTCTTGAAGCACCCAACCCCAGAACAGGCAGGCCACCTTCTTTCTCCACTTCTGAACTCAGGCGGCTCAGTCCTGTGGGACAGTTTTACCTAACCCAACAGTTTGGTCCATCCTTTCCCCTGCATGCAGAGTTGTTTCTCAAAAAGCAGATCTCTGCTTAGAATCCTCTATGGCTCCCCTCTGTCTTTATGTTTAAGAGCAAGCTTGTATTGTCATTTTGCATTTATTAATAATCTGCAGCCTTATCGGGGAAATCTATGTTTCCCTGGCTTCTGCACCTTTTTTGCCAGAATAACTCTGGTTTAAGGTCATCAGTAATCCATCTGGCTATAACCTACATCTTATCATGGCAGTCCCCTTTATAATAGCCCTACCCCACTCCACACAGACATACATGTACTTTTCTGCTCTCATTGCCTACTAAGGCCCCTCCTTTAGAGGCCTTGTCCTTTGCTTTACACTGTATACTTAGCACCTAGCACAAGGCATAGTAAATATTTGTTGTGAAATGAAGTGAGGTTTAGGCTAGTCTTAAAGAATGAGAACATGCTAGGCAGGAGAACACATGGCCAAATACAGAAAAGAGTTTGTGTCTATGGCACGTTTAGAGAACAATAACCAGGTTGCTGTGGGTTAAAAAGCTATGCTTTGCTGAGAGCAGCATTCAGGGGTCTTTCCATCCATATCTTATCCAAAGTTTTCTAGACACTTCTCACCTGCAGCTGCTCCAGTCTTCTCTTGACTATCTGGTTCTTCTACTGTTCTCTCTTGAATTTGATCTACTTGGGCTTTGGATCCACTGCTCCACCAGAATGGGTATTATTGAGGTCACTAGTGACTTCCATGTTGCTAAACCCAGTGGACATTTCTCACTTGTCATCTTACTTGATCTGTCCACATCATTTGACAACGTGATCACTCCATTTTTGCATATATACTTTCTTCCAAGATACCATACTATCTTGGTTTTCCTCCCACCTCACTAGTTGTAATTTCTTCCTCAATTCCTCAGCCTCTAAACAACAGAGTGCCCCAGGTTCAGCCCTCTTAGTTTTTCAGTCCACACTCATTCCCTCACTGATCTAATCCAACCTTTTATCTTCAGACACCATCCACATGCTAATAACTCCTCAGTTTCTATCTCTAATCCAGATCTCCCTCCCTGAACTTCAGACTCTTGCAGCTAACTTCCTATTAACATCTTCCCTTGGAAGTCTAATAGATATCCCCAACTTAACATATCCAAAATTAAACTCTTAATCTTCCCCTAAAAAGCTGCTTCTCTGGCAGTGTTTCGCATTTCAGTTTATGGCAACTCCAGCTTTCCACTTGCTAAGTAAGGCTAGAACTTGGATTCTCACACTTCACAACTAGCCTGTCAAGAAATGTCTTTCAAAATATATCCAGATGTAACCACTTCACTGTTATCATCATGTTCAATCACCTGAATTATTATAGTGACATCCTGATTCTTCTCATCTTTGATGTCCTACCCTCTGTTCTCAATGCAGTAGTCAGAGTGACCCTTTTAAGGTAAATAAGAGTATATCACCATGCAAGACCCTACAGTGGCTCCCACTTCACTGAGAATAAAATTAAATTATAACAGCCTCCAATACCAATCTGGCCCCCTATACCTATCTGATCTCCTATCCTACTCCTTTTCCTGTATATGGTGGTTCAGCAACACCAACTTCTTTACAGTTCTTCAGTTATGCCACTTTTTCTACCTTGGAGCCTTTGCTCTTGCTTTTCTTTCTGAAATGTTCTTTTCCCACGTAGTCCACATGGCTCATTCCCTCACTTCATTTCAGTCTTTGCTTAAATGGCACCATTTTAGTGAGGACTACCCTATTCAAAATTATAACCCACCTGTTCTATCTTACCTTCCTGGGTTTCTCCACCAGGCCACTTATCACCTTCTATCATGCTATTCAGTCATCTTACTTGTTTTGTTTACTTTTCATTGACTGTCCTCTCCATGCTGGAAAATAAGCTCCATAAAGGCAGGGATTTGTCTCTTTTCTTCATAAAACAATGCCTGACATAAGTAATAATTACTGAATTGAGCTAAAATTAGGAATTTACATCTTTTGGAGAAAGTCTTTTGGAGATCTTAAGGTTCATTTAAATAAATTCTCTAGCCATAAAGAAAAGATATGTGAGCCCCAAATATAAAAAAGATATATTTGAACCAGGAAGATTTATTAATGGCTGTAGGTCTACATGTACCATTATCATGCTCCTCATTGTCATTTGGTATTAGATTATGTTTAGTCCAGGACTGATACAGGACTGGATTTTAGATTGCCTCCCCTCTCCCACAACTAACAAGGCTTTAATCAGGGCATTAAGGAGTTCTAAATAGGCATTGCTTTTGAATCTGCATATCAGGAGGGGGCTGGGAGCAGGAGTGGGAGGATGTCATGTCCCAGTGATTAATGATCTCTAGGAAGCTGAAAAGGGGAGAGTAATATACACAGTATTTCTACCCCCTGGAGTAGGAATGCAAACACCATTGTGCGGATCTGTGCATAGTCACTGACTTCCTGGTAGCTGGAGAATTTCATACACTCTTCTACCACAAATAAAACTGTCAGAGAAGTGACAGAGCTCAAAAAGCGGGCCTTCCTTACTTAAAAAGAATAGCTCAAACACAGTGAGCCAGAAAATTAATTTTGTAGTTGTTTGGAAACCCAGTTGTTTAATAAGAAACGAGAAAATGGGAACTTTCCTTGAAAAGCCTAAAACCTCCAAATATTTGTTGAATCAAACTCTACATTTGGTTTCTTAAATTTACTGGATTCCTGGAAACTGCTTATTTTAAATGAATTTAAAGGGAAACATTCCTTTGTAATGAAATACATTGTCTTAAACTTTTCAGTGTGGTCTCTATGGTAGATTTAGAGAATCATACTATCAGTGGACTCCAGTGCCTATTGCCCCGTGTGTTGAAAAAAAAAATCCTAACATTTCAAAATGGTTTATACAGTTTTAGAAAGTAATTCTATGGTAGAGTTCTTTTGTTTGTTTTCATCCCCAGTGAATCTGTGATATTTAACAACAGTTTCCAAATGCTTAAGTCAGAAACGAAACATTTTTAAGTCTAGATAAAGAACTACAGATGTCTGCAAAAATTTTTAAAAGAAAGTTTGTGGGAAAAGCATTGTATTTCAACCAATTGTGATTTTTTACAAATAACCAAAATTAGGGCCATTGTTTAACAGTAGCAGGTAGTAATCACAGCAGCAGCAAGATTTTTCGTGGGGACCACCAAATAACTTGTATTTTAACAGGAATCATTCATTCAGAGGATTTGTTATTTTTGTTCGTGGCTCAAGATTTTTTTGATACCCTTTACGTTACTACTCATTGTTCTGCATTGTCTAATTTTTAAACTTTGATCTCTTATGAATATTTTTTTCCATAATATAAAAAGAAAGGAAGGAAATACTCATTCTTGGAGAAATGAGAGCTATACTTCAGATTGAAAGAAAAAAAATGAATGTGTATTTTATTTCTGTTTTGTTGCTGTTTACTTTTATTTTTGAGGTTGTCACTATAATCTAAATTAAAAGGAACTACTATGGTCTAAATTAAGACACAATCAGATAGATTAAGCCCTGAGTTTGGTTTCCAAGTGGTTAGACTTTTTGATTGCATTTGCAAGAGTTTATTTTTAGTCAGGATGTGGTTATTTTTAGATCTGCTTCTCTGTCACTAGGAAATGTAATGCCTGTCTTTCCATTGTTGTTTATCAGGAAGTTCTGAGGCACAGGCTTAGAAGATCCAGTTAGCAGAGAACACCACCTCCTTTTAGATGAAAGAATGTGAAATAATGCCTGAAGGAAAATCTGTTAATTGAGAACATGTCTAATTTTTAAATTATTAGTGTCACTTTAATCTCTTACACACTGAGCAACAGAACAAGATTTTTAGGGAATACCAAAAACACAAGGTTTGGGTTCCCCCTACTGGTGTGCATCCCAGGTGCATGTGTTCATTAATAAGGTAGCAGAAAGGCCTAGGGGATAAAGATTTGAAATGGCTATGTTGGCCTCTTTTAAAGAGACCTGGTGATGAGAAAAGGAGGAAAAGCACCATTACCCATTTTCTGCTAATGTCTTTTTAAAAATGGGATGATCTAAAAATTGTATTTTTTATACGTAGAAAGAACAAAACTTAATCCTGTAATATTTGGGTTTTAATGTTGTTGCCTCTGTGATAAGCTGCTTATATACAGCTTCTCAGATGCTTTATGTTGTAATCTAAGGAATAATAAAACACCAGTAACTCCACAAAAGGATTTAAAACCCCAAGGAAAAAATATAAGGCTAGCATTGTGTCATAATAAAATTAAAGAGCTGGTGTTAAAGCACACTAATTCCTATTTTAGCATTTCAGAAAGTGACATGACATCATGTGATTGTGTGTGTCCATTTAACATCTGTTCTTTCTAATTTGTCATATGTGTATTTAAAACAGTTCTCTTTATTTTCTGTCTCTTAGTCAGTAAATGCCAAGTAATATTAAAGGCTTGTTTTGAAAAAGAAAAATTTTAATTGACTCCTAGAAGTCATTTCTGAACTTCTTATTATGTTTGCATTTTAAAAGACTATTGAATGAAATCAAAATATTGTATTTTTAAATTGCTTTTCAGCAATGCAGTCAACCTTTTAAGCAATGTTCCGGTCTCTTGTTTGGATGTTCTCATTTGTCCATTAACCCATGAAGAAACGGCCCAAGAGGCAACGACACTAGATGAACTACCCAGTGATAAAACAGCTGAGAAAGAAACTGTTTTGAAAAACAATACCATGGTATACAATGGTATGAATATGGAAGCCATTCATGTTTTACTCAGTTTTATGGAGAAGAGAATAGACAAGGTAAGGCTGATAAAATGGAGGCCTTGGGAAAATGTTTCTAAAGAATGTAAATGTGCCATATATGCAGACATCACAGGACATGATTTTTAAATTGAAACTTTTTTTAATAGCTGACATTTTGTGTGATTGTACCCTGGAAATCATTTTATTACAGTATATGATTAATTGCAAAAAACCAAGTGAATTTATTTGTTTAAAGCCAAAAATTTTGTTGATGCAAGACCAAAAGTGTGACTAGGGCCTGAAAGCAAAGGAAAAATTACTTTTCCATGTAAGTATTTTGTAAGACATAGAAGTAAAATTTATCCCCCCCAAAAAACTTGATGATAAATACTTTACATAATGCCTAAAAGCTATCTTTAAAAAAAAAATCATCAACTTTTCATTTGTTGTGAGCTGCTTATTTTCTCTTGTCTGTCACTTGCTTTGTCAGGTTAACTATATTAAAAGGCAGCAAGGTAGTGTGGGTGGGTCATCAAAACCTTTGCCTCATTTAAGCCCATTGGCTGAGCCAGTGAGGACCTCACAAAATGTAGGAAAATCCAAGGAGGATAAAAACGGACATTAATAAACATGAAGATAACTGATGGAATGGAAACATTGTTAGAAAAATAATTTCTTAAATAGTTCATAAAGCTTTGGTAACATAAAATGTTTCTCCCTCAAAAAAGGAGTATTAACATGCTCAGTTATACAGAGGAAGGTAATACTGTTAGAAACTAATACAGTGGGCGCCTGGGTGGCTCAGATGGTTAAGCGTCTGCCTTCGGCTCAGGTCATGATCCCAGGGTCCTGGGATCGAGTCCCACGTCTGGCTCCCTGCTCCTTGGGAGCCTGCTTCTTCCTGTGCCTCTCTCGCTCGCTCTCTGTCTCTCATGAATAAATAAATAAAATCTTTAAAAAAAAAAAAAAGAAACTAATACAGTATGTCTGATTTTCTTTATAGGGAAGCAGCTATAGAGAAGGTCTCACTCCAGTTCTCAGCTTATTAACAGAATGTTCCCGAGCCCATCGAAACATCAGAAAATTTCTCAAAGATCAGGTAACTGCTTAATGCAAATTACTCCTCTTAGTTAATCTTCTTATATGTGGTTTTTAAAAATAGAATTAATGAGTTGCATTCTTTCATATAATCAGAAACTCAGAAAAGTTAGTTTTAATCTTTGAAATCTTCCTCATCCAGAAAAAAGTATTTTTTCTGAGTCATTCATTCACTTATTCAACAAATAGTTGAGATCTACTTTGTGTTGTCTTCTAAGCACTGAAAGACAGATGAAGTCTTTGCCTTGTGGAGTTTACCTTACAGTGGGGGAACAAAAAGGAAATGAATACATTTATGTTATAATGTCATGTAATGATATGTTCTAAAGAAAGACAGCAGGAGAAGGGGAGACTTAGGGGAATGGGGAGGGCCTCTCTGAGAAAGTGACATTTGAGCAGAAATTTGGATAAGTAAGAAAAGGATCTCAGAAAATCTGGAAGAGGAATGTAAAGAGAACAAAGTCAAAGTCCCTGAGATGAGAGGATGCTTTGGCATGCTTATGGAAAAGCAAGGAGGCTAGACCAAGTTGGCAAGGAGTAAAAAAAGTAAGGAAGAACCAGATGGCCTAAGGTTGTATAGGACTTGTGATTCTCTTCTAAGTGAGATGGGAAAGCACTGGACCATTTTGAGAAGGGGAGTTAAATGAAGGGGATGTCATTTATATTTTAAAATACTCTGCTACTGTATGTAGGATAGACTAGGAGAATGTGAGTAGATGCAAGGAGGCCAGTTGAAAAGAGAGCTGATGGTGAAGGTTTGGAGTAGGATGGGTAGCAGAGTTCATGGTAAGAATTCTTTCCACCGCTGGTCTTCTGTCCATCTGCCCATATCATATATCCTTTGTCTCCCCTTCTATCATAATGGGTGAATTGTCCCCACTTTCTTCTGAGGCCAGCCTCTGCACTTGTGCCCTGGATTCCTTTCCTTCTCACCTTCTCAGGAACTTTGCTCCTGCATTTATTTCCTCTCTTCTTACATTAATCTTTTTTTTTTTTTTTTAAGGTACTGGGTCATTTCTATCTTCACCCAAACACATCTTCCATCTTAAAAACAAAACAAAAAACCTTCCCTCAATTTCACTTCTCAAGCTGCCTCCCTATCACTCTGCTCTTCTTAGTGCAGTGTTCCCCAGAAGTTTTCCATACTCACCCTCTCTATTCTTTTTACTCATCTTTTTCTCCTGAATCCACCAAAATTAGGCTTTCATGCTTTCCACCCCACTGCAAAGGTGCTCCTCAAAAGTCACCAACCCAGTATTGCCAAATCCGATAGTTCTCAAATCTTTTTTTTCTAAATGCATTCCCCCAATGCATTTTGATGTAACTGAGTATTCCGTCCTTCTTGAAATACTTTCTTCACTTGGTTTCTAGGACACAATAGGGAACCTCTTTGCAATGTCTGAGCGCCCCGAGACAATATTGTCTTTGTCTCCACTCCCATTCCCCTGGTGATCTCATTCAGCAGTCATGGTTTTGAAAATCATCTATATGCTGATGACTCCCAAATTTATATCTCTAGCCCTGACCTGTCCCCTCAGCTCCAGACTGACATAACAAGCTGCCTACTCATCTCCTCCCCTTGGATGTATAGTAGAGGTCTTAAGTTTAGCATATCCCAAACCAAGCTCTTGATTTCCCATCCCTTCACCCTGTTTCTTTCCTTCTTTCCACATTTCCCCATACATGGTACCACCATTCACCCCACTGCTCTTTTTTTGCCATGTAGAATTTCCCTTGTTAAATGAACCAGCTTCATTTTCTCCCTTTATGTTTATGGTCAAGATTTAGTAAGCACCTTATTACATGTGAAGCACATTAGTAGATACTGATGCTAAGGAGAGATTAGAAAGTAGAGACTCTTTCTTTGAGGAATTTACAGTCCATTGGAAGAAGAGAGTAGTACCATGAAAGCATGAATAATCATTTAAATCAAATAAAATAGTTAATGAATTAAGGTCATTTCCAATTTGATTATTTTAAGACATTCTACTGTGACTAGGAGTACTTGGTAAAGAATAATAAATGAAAAATATTTTAAGTTTTCTATATTTTAGCTTTTTTTCATAGGAGATCCAGGTTCAACTGAACTGTTTAGATTTTGCTATCTCTGACCAAGATAGTAAAAAAAAACCTGTTTGTTAAACAACTTTATATGAAGGCCTTGGGCCACATATTATGTGGACACAAAGATTATTAGACCCACTTTTTGTCCTCAAAGAAGCACTACGGTATAAAGAGATTAAACATGACAGGTAAAGATGACTAAGATACAAGACACACAAAAAAATCAACTTTCCTTCTGAGAAAGATGCAGTCTAAACTATGATGATTAAGAAAGGCAGAATGTAAAGTAACAGATGATTAATTTTGGTAATAGTATAAATGGAATGATGGCTAATTAATTATTATGCCCTGTAGTTAATACCTGATTAAATCCAACTCATACATACCCAAAGGAAATTGGTCTTAAGTATTTAGGCGGGTAGAAAAAGAACAGATGGTAGAAATTACTGACCCAGGTTGGGTTAGTCTGGAAAGGCTTACAAAAGAGACGAGATTCTGTGGATTTGAAAGAGGAAATGAACAAGATTTGTCAAAGAAAAGAAAGAAGATTGTTGGAGGGTAATATTTGGGAGGAAATAGAATGAGTCCATACAAATGCAGTTTGTCTGGGAGTGATATATAAGAATAAAAGCAACAAACTTCTATTTTAAAAAACTTGCTTTTAAGAAACCCAAAACATAGCTAACAAAATTTTGGGGTGATAACTTTTGTTAATAGATTCTTTACTCTGGAACAATAGGCACATGCTACATGAAATCACTTGTTAGATATCTCATTCGTCAATACATTCAGTATACAGAGACCATATAAAACTCAGTATGGTTGGCTGAATCAGATAATAAGGATTTACATTGCATAGCAATGACCTTGTGCTTATAGAGCATAGAAATCCTGGTGCTCTACCCTATCAGAAATACTGAAATATGGCTTCTGTGTAAATACTTTGGGTAAATGATTCAATTTTCTGAGATTTAGTTGCCATTTGTGTTCACAGCACCTCCAGTACCTCCTGATACATGGTAGGCACTCAGTATAGAAAGAGAGAGAGGAAAGAAGTCAATTGAATGGACTAAATAAAATGATATACACATGAAGGGCCTGGCACAGTAAATTATTTGACTTCGTTTTTATCCTCATTTCCTCTCATAGTGCCTAGCTTATAGAAGGCACTTTTAAAAAGATATTTGAGGGGTGCCTGGCTGGCTCAGTCAGTAAAGCATACAACTCTTGATCTCGGGGTTGTCAATTCAAGCCCCACATTGTGTGTAGAGATTACTTAAAATAAAAAAAGATATTTGAATTAATCCATTCTTCCTTCAGTCAACAAATATTTATTAAACACCTCTAATATGCCATGCACTGAGAGCAGTAAGAAATCCCTGCCCCCATGGCACTGACTCTTGTAGAAGAAGGCTAACAGTAAAGAAATATATACTGTTATCAGGTGGTGAGGAGTGCTGTGAGGAAGATTAAAATGGTTGGAGGAGGGTGGTGCACAAAAAAAGAGAGGTCATATAGGGTGGTCAGGAAATGTCTTCCTATAAGTGACATTTGAACACAGACCTGAAGTAAGGAATGAGCCATGCAAGTTTCTAGAGAAAGAGTTTCTGGGCAGAGGAGCAGCAAATGCAAAGACCGTGAGACAGGAAAGTGAGGGGTGTGCATAAGGAGTTCCAGGTAGGTCTGTGCGGCTGTAGCAGTGTAGGCCAGGAGTACAGTAGAAAGGAAGTTAGAAAAATAGCAGGAAGCTGGATTATGTGAAAACTAAGGGAGTTGTAAGGACATTGTTTTTCACTGTAAGATGAGAAGCCCTAGGAACTGGAGGACTTTGAGAACAGGAATGACATGATCTGACTTTCAGAGGATCCCTAGCTGCTTTGTAGAGAAGAAATCATTAGAAGGACCAGGATGAAAGCAGAGAACACTGAGAGGTTGTGGTAATAATCAGTTCAGGTGAGACATATCGGTAACTTGGATTTAATAATATTAGAGCGGGTAGTGAGAAGTGGCTGAATTATGGATATATTTCAGAGGTAGAAACAATATAATTTGCTTGTGGTTAGTTATGCAGTGTGAAAGAGAAAAGGCTATTTTATTTCCAAGGTGTTTGTACTAAACAGTTGGAAAAATAGACTTACCATTTAGTGAGATGGAAAACTAAGAAGGAACAGCTTTGGTGGGAGCATCAAGAGTTCTGTTTAGGACATGCTAAATTTGAGAGACCTATAAAAGTCTGGAAGTCAGTAAAGAATCAAGATAGAAATATAATTTAGGGAGTTCTCAGTATATAGAGACCATATAATGCCATAAAACTGGATAAGATCACCAGTAGATTAAGTGAAAATAAGTGAAGAATGTTGCCCAAGAGCTCAACCCTTGAATATTCCAATACTTAGAAAGAGGAGAAAGAGAATTGTCAGAAGATGCTGAGATGAAGCAACCAGTTGAAATAGGAGGAGACCCTGAAGAGGGAGCGGTCTGGGTGGATGAATAGGTGAGTGAGTGAGCAAAAAAACAGACAAACCAAGAAGTGTCCTAAGCCCTCTGCGGATCAATCAATAAAGTAGGGACGATAGTGATGTTACTACCTCCTTTGCAAGGTTACTGTGGAGATTGATTATAGAGAATGTATGTATATCCTCTATTATAGCAACTAGCACCTAGAAAGTATTCAGTAATTAATAGATTATATTAAAATAAAAAAATAATAAATTTTTTTATTATAAAATAAAACAAGAAAACCTAAGTACAGATTTTTTTAGTAAATACTGAAAATGCTGCAGGAATTACAAGAAGGGGAAAATCAATAGGAGTATAAGTATTAAGGAAGGCCCTGTGGAAGGAGAAACTTGACCCTGACTTTAAAATGGATTTTGATAGAGGCAGGCAAAGGCATTCCAGATGCTTTGGTGATTAAAAACTCAAACAAATTAGAGTATTTCATGGTGGTACAGTGAAGAGATGTTTCTCTTCAAATGAAATTTCATTACAAACATGAAATCATTTGAGGGTTTTGTTTTGTTTTATTTGGAAGCACACCTATTTAGTTTTTAAAAGCTTTTTCCACTCTTACAAAACTGAGCTCATAGACATTATAAGACTGACCAGTTGCATGGTACCATCCTCACTTACTCTAGTACCCCATGACTGATGATGGTTTTTGCATTTCTGCCATTAGGTTTTACCACCATTGAGGGATGTGACAAATCGACCTGAAGTTGGCTCAACTGTGAGAAATAAGCTGGTGCGCCTCATGACACATGTTGACCTTGGAGTCAAGCAAATTGCTGCTGAATTCCTTTTTGTCCTTTGCAAAGAGAGAGGTAGGTTAAACTCTCTTTGCTCTCTTTTTTATTTTTCAGAGGGAATTTGAAAGATCTTTCTGTTAATAGTGGCCGTATCATTCCACTCTTTTCAGAGCTTTCTCCTATCTTCTGTTAGAGGGCCTGAGGAGATATTAAAAATTAATAATTTAAAAACATTTTCTATATGCTTCTGAATTCATTGAGATGTGCAAACACACTCACATTAAACTTTGCCTTCTGTATCCTTAACCCACACTTCTTTTTTTTTTTAAAGATTTTATTTATTTATTTATTTGACAGAGAGAGACACAGCGAGAGAGGGAACACAAGCAGGGGGAGTGGGA